TTTATGTTCTATGTTATAGCAGCGAGAGGAAACTACTATACCTTCCAAGGAGATTAGTGAATTCAAGGCGAGAAGAACTGAGTTTCCTACTTCCATTTCCTCTTCCTACTTCCTCTCTTCCCTTTAATTCCACAGTGTGAGTAACAAGTGCTCTTCTAACCTTGCTGGAGCTTACATCTCAACCCCTATGCTTTGCATTTTTCCTTGATCCTATCCTCATACCACTTCTCTGTTCTACTAGTTCATTTTATTATTCTATTTTCCTACTGCAACTTTAGTCTTTCCCTCTGTATTAGATCCTTTCCCTTGACCACACTACTCTGCAAGACCCTGCTTTTCTTTCAGTTCAAGCTAATCTTCAGTTCAAGCTAGGCAGTCTACATTGCCCCTACATAATCGCCACTAATCTGCCCCTTAACTTTCTATAATTTGAATTCTCCTCATACCATCCTACTGAAACTGTTCTCTTAAAAGTCACCAATAAACACATTAAACAACAAATCCTTGGCATTGTCTCAGTGCTTACTCAACTTATCCTCACTTAGCAATGACATCGTAGACCAAATCCTCTTCTTTAAATTTTCTTTTCCCTTGATTTCTCTTTTTCTTAAAGATTTATTTATTTATTTTAGAGAAAGAGAGTGTGCACGTGTGAACTGGGGAAGGGGCAGAGGAAGAGGATCTCAACTAGACTCCCCACTGAGCGTGGAGCCTGACGCAGGGCTCCACGTGGGGCTTGATCTCCTGACACACGAGATCATGACCTGAGCTGAAAACCAAGAGTTGGATGCTTAACTGACTGAACCATCCAGGCGCCCCTCTTTCCCCGATTTCTAAGTCACAGCACAACACAGTTCTTTTCCCTCTTTCAGCACTCACTTTCTTTTCTTTTACCAACTCTTCTTTTAATGAAGGCCTTATCCAAAACTACCCTTGGCTCTCTTCTTTTCTCTATGTTTGCCATTCATTAGTTACGTAAGTTCATGCAGGGCAAGTCACTTAAAACTCTCTGTGGCTTAAGTTTCCTTGCCTTTGAAATGGGAAAAGAATTCCAACCTTCAGCTGCAATAAGGACTAAATGGATTCACATATGTACAGCGCTTACGGCGCTCAGAACCAGGAGTGGCACATAGAAAGCACTATATGGAGTTACTGTTGCAGCTGATGTTACTGCTTTGACACATCTGCTCTGATAACTATTTCCTCTGTCCTGGGTTCTCTCTTGTTTGACTCTATGCAATAAATACAGCTGACCCTTTAACAATGTGGAGGCAGGGGCGCCAACCCCTCGTGCAGTTGAAAATCTATGTATAACTTTTGACTCCCCCAAAACTTAACTACTAATAGCCTACTATTGACTGGAAGCCTTCCTGATGACATAAACAGTTGGTTGACACGTATTTTGTATGTTACATGTATCATACACCATATTCTTAAAATAATAAGCTAGAGAAAATAAAATGTTAAGAAAATCACAAGGAAAATACATTCACTGTACTGTACTATATTTATTGAAAAAAGTCTGCATAAAAGTGGATCTATGCAGTTCAAACCTGTGTCATTCAAGAGTCAACTGGTCCACTGTACCTGTAGGACCCTCTGATGGACAGGTAACTGCCTGGGGCCTGTGGGGATTACAAAGGTATTTATTCCCTCATGGAACATACAGTCTAAGAGTTAATAGTATTCAAATGATAACACATAAGACGGGGTGACTGATAAGAGGTAATAACAAAAGAAAACCTAAGTGGAAAGTCAAAGAAGGGAACAACTGTATCTGGTTGGAGAGAATCAGCAGAGGTTTAAGAAAGAAGTAGCTTTGAAGGACAGGATGTGTCAGACGGAAAAGAGGGGAGAGTGCATTCCAGGCAGTGGGAACAAACTGGCAAAATCTCTGAGGTAAGGTATGAGGCATCCAGGAGAATAGCTAAAATGTAGTTATATGTAGGAGAAAAGTGGGAGATAACGTTGAAAAGCTGTCATATTTTGAACGTCCTTGAGTGTCAAGGTAAAAATTTTTTATTTAATTTTGGAAGCATTAGGGAGTATGAAGATGATGTAATTAGAGTTGTATGATTAATGTGATATGATTAATCAGGCAAGAGAAACAAGTCAATCAGGAATTTCCTCTATCTGTCAGATAGAGGAACAAGGGTTTTGTCACAAAATGTGGATTGAATTTTGGTTCTGACACTTAGCGGTGACCTCAGCCAAGTCATTTACCCTCTCTGAGCCTGTTTCCATACTTATAAAATGGTGTGATAAACAGAAACTAAGATCGCCCGCATAAGTCTCAGCTTTCTGGTGTTCCATCAGGATTACATTGCATTATATGACAAAAGGGACTGTGCAGATATAAATAATTAATTGGCTCACCTTAAAATAGGGAGATTATCCAGGTAGGTGAAACCTAATGACATGATACCTTTACAAGCAAAGAGTTTTCTCCCACTGGTTGCAAAAGACAAAGTCAGAGAGACTGGAAACATGAAGGGGATTCAACACAAGGGCTCCTGCTGTCAGCCTTAAAACCCAAAGCTACAATACAATACTCCAAGAGGGTCTGTGAGCAGAGGTGGCAGACTGTGTAAGTGGTCTCTTTAGGAGCTGAGAGCAGCCCTGGCTGATAGTCAGCAGGGATTCTGCCAGCAACCTGAAGATGCTGGGAGGAGGATTCTTCCCCAAGAGTCCAGCCCAGCCAACACCTTGTAAGACCCTGAGCAGAAAACCCAGCCACACTCACCAAGACCTCTGACTTAAAGAGCCATCAGCTAATAAATGGGTGTTGCTTTTAAACCATTAGGTTTGTGGTAATTTGTTATACAGCAATAGAAAACTAATACAACAGGGATTCTAATATCTATTCTATTTTATGTGATTGTTGCAAGGCTCAGATAAAGTAATGTATACACAAATAATACACAAACATAATTTACAGTTGTTATCTAGTTAACATGTCTAAAATATATATCATTTCTCTCAATTCCTCTCCCCATCAAATAGGCTCATTTTATTTCTTTAATGGTATCACAACTGCAGCTTTGTTTTGTTTTGTTGTGGGTTGGGGGGCTGACATAAAGGGCACTTGTGCCTCCTCGGAGTGAGACTGAGGGGAAAGAACATGTGTGTGTGTATATGTGTGTACACTGAGTACATAAATACAGGAGGAAAGAAGTTATCAAAGGCAAAGGTTGATAAATGAAATAAGGTAAATGCTAACCTGCAACAGTTAGCACTAGCATGGAGTATCAACCGAAAATCTGTGTGAGAATAATTTATGCCACACACAGCTATGGACACAAGCAATTTACCAAAAACTATGTCCTTATACATTTCTAGGTTTGTTTTGTGTTGTTTGGGTACAGGGACATTTAAACCTTTGCAGATTTGTTTTGTTATAGGCCAGGGGAACTTAAAATTATGCAAGTAATTGATGTTTCCTGTGACAAAACAATACAGAGTTGTACAGAGAAATAAAGTATATTTATAATATATACCCAATTCTACTCTCCTGAGAAAACCATTAAACCGATTGGTGGGCATCCTTCCATACTTCTTTATACGCTCAAAGAAGTATAAAAGGTTTCCTTACTCTTAAAAACCTGGAGTCATATTCTACCTATTATGTGTAACTTGTGTTTTTTATTTTACAACGTACTGTGGGCACTTCTCCTAGACACTTTATACACATATCACATTTTTCTTAATAGAGGCATAGTACTCTAAGTCACCCATTCATAAAAGTGCCAATTTTCACATTCCCTAGACAACATCACAGATATAAATCCTTTCATTCTCTGCAACCACAGAGGAAAATGTAAACTTCTTATTGTAATTTGTACTTCTCTAAAAACAAGTGAGATTGAGCATCCTTTCACATGTGTGAAAATCTGTGTGAGAATAATTTATGCCACACACAGCTATGGACACAAGCAATTTCTACATCCTTATACATTTGTGTGTGATTGCTCATATTTTTCCTCTTTTGATTAGTCTGTTCAGATCCTTTGCTTTTTCTTCATTGGAATGTTCATTTTACTGATTTATTAATAGTCTTTATGACCAAGCATATGTTTTTCACAGACTATGTATGACATTTGTAGGTGTTTATACTTTATGACTTTAAAAAATTCCTACGGAAGTTTTAAATTTTCTTATATACTGAAACTTGTCAATTTTTTATTTTATGGCTCTTGGCATTGTTATCATGCCAAGAGGTTTTTTATATAAATAACCTCCTGTGTTTTCTTCTAGTACTTTTGTAGTTTAAAAAAATCTCAAGTTACTATTTTCAACAGGTTAGCCAATCATCCTAATTCCATTTTTTGAATAACTGAATACCACTTATGTACTATATATTTTACTGGTCTATTTGGCTGTCTTTGCGGCAGTACTGTAATTATAACAGCTTTATAATATATGTACTACAGGGGAATGGGCTCCCTCATTATTTTTGCTTACATCTTCTTGGACACTGATTCTTATGGATCACATAAAGCATCATTTTAATATCTCCAGCCCAAAACTGCTGAAAAATGTATTAAGTGTAGAGAGTAAACTGGGTATACCTGACATCTTGATGTTTTCCATCCTACGACCTTTTAGTCTTTTGATAAAGTCCTACAGTTTTCCTCATACGGGTTTAGCTTACTTTCTTTTAGGTTTATTTCTAAGTATTTCATTATTTTTCCATCAAGTCTTCTAAGTGATTATTCCTCAAAGGAAATATACTGAATTTTCATATATTTGTATAGTGTCTGGCTGCATAACCAAATTCTATTATTCATGAGCTTTGTATCTCATTCATACCCTACCCTAAGTAACAGTCACCTAAAAATAACAATTTTGCTCCTTTCTGTAAATATTTATACTGCTTATTTCTTTTTCATATTGTATTAATTAACTTCATCTACCAAAAAACTACTTTTTAATAGTTTGATAATATATTTTCAGCCAAAATACACGTGTACTTTTAATAATCATCATTATTATTATTTTACCATTCTTGATGTTAGGGAAAACAAGATGTGTAGGTGAACTTCTGTTTTCAGCGGCTTCTTTCTTCTGGTTAACAGTTGAAATGAAACTGCTAAAAGTGGAAATTTGGCCTTTGGATCCTCTGTCCAAACCCTAAAAACAGAAAAGTTAACATTGCAGCATGATTCCCACTAGCTATATTTAAACTATTTTATTGCAGAAATTCATAAACACTTGAACAGATTTTAATTTGATGATATTACAGATAAAATATATAACATTGACTTACCTTTCCTAGGATCAAATTGTTTTAAATATAAAATGAAAATAGTTGTACCATGCCTACAAATTGATCAAGTTTGGAAATAGGGTATTAATAGTATCTTCCTTATAGGGTTACTGTGATGTCTCACTGAAATAAGCATATAAAGTGGCACAGCCCCTCGTATATTGTGCATGCTCCCCTCATGTTAACGGCTCTTTTAAATTTGTATTTATTTTTTTTAAGATTTATTTTATTTTATTTATTTGTCAGAAAGAAAGAGAGCACAAGCAGGGGGAGTGGCAGGCAGAGGGAGAAGCAGACTCTCCGCTGAGCAAGGAGCCCGATGCGGGACTCGATCCCAGGACCCCGAGATCATGACCTGAGCTGAAGGCAGACGCCCAAGTGACTGAGCCACCCAGGCGTCCCTTAAATTTGTATTTAGATAACACCATTTTTATGAGCTCCACAAATATTATTTTCAATAGTTAACATGCATGTGATACTTCACATGTTGATTCATTGGAGGTTTTCTTGTCTTTTGATGCAACTTTAACCGTTCAGGTAAAAAGATAAAACTTTTAGAGCTCATTTCTTTCTATGCATTGTGATTATACTTTGGGTGTACTAGGATTAAAAAAGATAATGCTAACGTAATAAAGGCCATAGGTGAAAAAGCCACAGCTAATATCATCCTAAATGGGGAAAAACTGAGAGCTTTTCCTCTACGGTCAGGAACAAGACAGGGATGTCCACTCTCACCACTGTTATTTAACATAGTACTGGAAGCCCTAGCCTCAGCTATCAGACAACACAAAGAAATAAAAGGCATCCAAATCAGCAAAGAATTATTAAAACTTTCATTCTTTGCAGATGATATGATACTAAACATAAAAAAACCTGAAAGACTCCACCAAAAAATTGGGTAGAACTGAAAAATGAATTCAGTAAAGTCGCAGGATACAGAATCAATGTACAGAAATCTGTTGCATTTCTATACACCAATAGTGAAGCAGCAGAAAGAGAAATTAAGGAATTAATTCCACTTACAACTGCACCAAAAATAATAAGCTACCTAGGCATAAACCTAACCAAAGATGTGAAAGCCTGTACTCTGAAAATTATAAAACACTAATGAAAGAAATTGAAGATGACACAAAGAAATGGAAAGATATTCTATGCACATGGACTGGAAAAATAAATATTATTAAAATATCTATACTACCCAAAGCAATCTACATATTTAATGCAATCCCTACCAAAATATCAACAGCATTTTATTTATTTATTTTTATTTATTTTTTAAGATTTTATTTATTTATTTGACAGAGAGAGACAGCGAGAGAGGGAACACAAGCAGGGGGAGTGGGAGAGGGAGAAGCAGGCTCCTCACTGAGCAGGGAGCCCGATGCGGGACTTGATCCCAGGACCCTGAGATCATGACCTGAGCCAAAGGCAGACGCTTAACTGACTGAGCCACCCAGGTGCCCCCATTATTTATTTTTAAAGATTTTATTTATTTATTTGAGAGAGAATGAGATAGAGAGAGAGCATGAGAGGGGGGAGGGTCAGAGGGAGAAGCAGACTCCCTGCTGAGCAGGGAGCCTGATGCAGGCGGGACTCAATCCTGGGACTCCAGGCTCATGACCTGAGCCGAAGGCAGTTGCTTAACCAACTGAGCCACCCAGGCGCCCCTCTCCAGCATTTTTTTTTAAAGAGCTAGAACAAACAATCTTAAAATCTGTATGGAAACACAAAAGACCTTGAATACCCAAAGCAATCTTGAAAAAGCAAAGCAAAGCTGGAGGCATCACAATTCCAGACTTCAAGTTATATTACAAACCTGTAGTGATCAAGACAGTATGGTACTGGCACAAAAACAGATACATAGATCTCTGGAATAGAATCGAGAGATTCTATTTTGGGTCCAGAAATGGACCCACAACTATATGGTCAACTAACTTTCGACAAAGCAGGAAAGAATATCCAATGGAAAAAAGACAGTCTCTTCAACAAATGATGTTGGGAAAATTGGACAGCCACATGCAGAAGAATGAAACTGGACCACTTTCTTACATCATACACAAAAATAAATTAAAAATGGATGAAAGATCTAAATGTGAGACAGGAATCCATCCAAATCCTAGAGGAGAACACAGGCAGCAACCTCTTTGGCCTCGGCAGCAATTTCTTACTAGACACGTCTCGGGAGGCAAGGGAAACAACAGCAGAAATGAACTAGCGGGACTTCAACAAGATTAAAAGCTTCTGCACAGCAAAGGAAAGAATCAACAAAACTAAAAGGCAAGCTATGGAATGGGAGAAGATATCTGCAAATGACATATCTGATAAAGGGTTAGTACCCAAATCTATAAAGAACTTATAAAACTCAACACCCCAAAAATGAATAGTCCAATTAAAAATGGGCAGAAGACATGAATAGACATTTTTCCAAAGAAGACATACAGATGGCCAACAGACACATGAAAAGATGCTCAACATCACTTATGAAGGAAATGCAAATCAAAACTACAATGAGATATCCACTTATACCTCCAGAATGGCTAACATTAACAACACAAGAAACAAAGGTGTTGGCGAGGATGTGGAGAAAGGCAAACTCTCTTATACTGTTGGTGGGCATGCAAATTGGTGCAGCCACTTGGAAAACAGTATAGAGAGTCCTCAAAAAGTTAAAAATAGAACTACCCTATGATCCATCAGTTACACTACAAGGTATTTACCCAAAGAATACAAAAATGCTAATTCAAAGGGATACATACACCCTTATGTTTATAGCAGCATTATCTACAATAGCCAAATTATGGAAAGAGCTCAAATGTCCAATGACTGATGAATGGATAAAGAAGATGTGGCATAGATACACACTGGAATATCACTCAGCCATAAAAAAGAGTGAAAGCTTGCCATTTTCAACAACATGGATAGAGCTTGAGAGTATTATCCTAAGTGAAGTAAGTTAGTCAGAGAAAGACAAATATCATTTGATTTCACTCATGTGGAAATTTGAAGCAAAACAAATGAACAAAGGGAAAGAGAGAGAGAGAGAGAGAGACTCTTAACTATAGAGAAAAAATTAATGGTTACCAGAAGGGAGATGGGTGAGGGGATGGGTTTGGGTTAAATAGGTGATGGGAGGAGAAAAGATAATGCTAAGCACTTAGGGATCCACAGGTGCATGTAGCAGTGCAATCTTCCTATAGCACAGAATCTATCCATTAACACACATTCCACAAAATAATAACTGTAAAGTCCACAGTATGTAGTTCATCTGTATTTTATAATTATAAATAAAATATTACAGGGCAATATTCAATTATAGAGCTACCTCAGGGTTTATTCTCAGCTCTAGCTCTTTCCAGTTTACTGATGCTTAATAGAATATAACTTCCTCCTTAATATTCACTCCCTTACTCTAAAGGTAATTTCTTTGCTTTCACAATAGTTTCTTTTTCCTCTCCTCCTTCCTAACCCACTGAACTGATTTCCATTTGCCTTTTCAGAATTACCTCATATACCATAGAGCAAAAACATTTACGATTACCAAGGATTGACTCTCTCACATTTCCTACTCTCTTGGGGGTGGAGGGGCACCTGATTCATTCTCATAGGGCCACAAGTAGAAATTCTGCTTGCGTACTGACTAGATTTAGGCTCAGTGAAGACATTAATATTTCTGTTAGGATTAGCCTACATGATCCAGCCTATTAGACATATTGCCTAACTAAAACAAAGTACTCTAATAGATGTAGGGTATGAATCTGGTTTCAGAATCATAAACAGTATCATCTAGGGTCTTGTACAAAACCTACAACATAATGAGTGGCTCAACAAATGACTATTCCTATGATAAAAGCATAGTAAAGCAAATCACTTACTGAGTACTTGCTAAAGGCTTGGTGCTATATTAAATGCCTTAATATACCATTCTTATGAGATATGTATTTATATCCCACTTTATGAATAAGGAAATTGAAGTACCAAGCCCAAGTTCACAGAGCTGGTAAGTAGGAATTCAAACTGTGAATGACCCTCAAGTCTGTACCTTAAACCACCATATATTAAAGTCTCTCAATATAGTAGCTATCACTTATTAAGAGTTTATCCTGTGACAGTAGGTATGTTACACATATCAGCTTGTTTCCACAACAACCCTTTGTGGCTATTATCTTCTCGACTTTTACAGATATATGCTGAATGAAATTCGGTAGCTTTAGGAGCAAGCAGAGGAAATCGACATAAGGAGAAAAACTAAGTGTATTTTAAGGAAATGATGTCCTTGCAATCTAGGAAAGACTCAATATTTTATTTTCCTACTTCTTCCTCTACCCTTCCTCCATAAAAGAAGGTCCCAAAGAACATTGCTTAGTTCACTTGTGGAATCTCTGAATAATAAAAAATAACAAGTAACTGATTCAATCAAATCCTTTCAGCAGCTATCAATTCTAATCTCTAATAGATTTATAATACAGATTGCTGAAGAGAGAGAGAACTGGAGAAAGAGATAAGACAGTGATATCCAATATTTTTTCTGATAAATTACATAATTTGTATAATCTTGGTAAATTATAGCAATACACTCAAATTCACAGAACTAGTATGCTGATTAGGAAAATAAAATCAAAATAAACCATACATTTGAAAAAGTAAATCAATCTTACTATAAATATTAGGACACTTAAATAAAAATTTTATTAACTACTAGGACCAAGTTTGCTTACTTGTATGTTTTGTTCTATAGAACATCTTAAATACTAGTGGGAACAAATTTGATGCACTATATATTTCGTTTATACACAGTAATTAATAAAAATAATCGATTTGTGAAATGAGATCAATGAATGGCCTCTTAGGAATGGAGCTAT